CATCCGGACGTCTATAAAATAGCTGATCGTATGCAAAAACCCACGATGATTTATAAAGAGTTTGTCGTTCGAACCCTTAGTATTATTCTAGGGCGAGAACGAAACAGTTTTAATAATTGTAACGTCATTAAAATTAACAATTGAAATGCGTTATCAGTTTATTAAAAATAACTTTAACAATCGGCCCGTACATTGATGCAGTTGCCGCTAAAATGCTGTTATATATCAATCGTTTGTTTGTTAGCGTCGAAGGCGCACGGTTCCTTGCTGAACACATTCAAATTGCGGTTTTAATTGCGATAAGCTCTGTAAACGATCGCGCCGGAACGCGAACATAGAGCTATGCTGTGTGGAAATGTTTTATCAGTTCTGTTATTCGTCATCGGCGAACGATCATTGTTTTGTGATGCCATAAAAGATGGGAAAGGAGTTGCCACCGTGGACGTACCGTAAGGCCTTAATCTTTTTTTTCGTGATACGCTGTGCTGGGTGCTTGAAGTCGACGTATTACGTTCCTTTTTGTCGCGAAAGCGCCGTTACTTGTTCGCTTAAGAATTGCAATTTATATTAAGCTAGATATATTTTTCAGTGATGCATTGATAGAAACATTGACAGTATGTAATTGGCAAAAGCATAGGTCGCATAGTTTATACATTTTTATTATTGTCTATTCAGAACTGGTCACGCTTAGATTATCGTAAATTGTATGAATATCGTGCCTTTTTTAAAATGCTTAGATGGGTATATGATCGCACGATGCTCACTTGGTGGGCACTCAAGTGGGTACTGGAGTCTATAGACCTGTACAATATAAATGCCGCCACACACCTTGAGATATGAGTTCTAAAGTCTTAGTTTTTAAAAATAACTGCCCCATCCTTCCAACCGAATCGCACTACTGCTTCACGACAGAAATAGGTAGGGTGGTAGTACCTACCTGTGCGGACTCACAAAACGTCTTACCACCAGTAAAAATACCTAAACATTTCTTGATAATAAACCGACTCAACCAATTGTCCGTCGATGGTACTAACATAGAATCCTTCTCTGGATTGCCACTAACAATTGCATCAAGTTTCATCACTTTCGGATCAATGTTACAAGAATTCGTAAAAGACAAACACATACCTACGCTTGTTAGTTATTTTTTACGTTTACATCCGAACATTGATATATATTAAAAGGATTATTCATTTTTTTTATAAACAAACGAAATTAAGGCTATAATAATGTAATAGAAGTCATAATTAAAATATTATGTAATAAATACGGAAACAATTTTAGATAGTTAGTAGTCTTTAAGCGGGCTAATAAGCTTCCGAATTACACATTCATTGTGAAAATGATGTATTATAAACTTGCTTTATTTCGTTTCGAAATGTTCGAAATGTTTGATAACTACACTCATTTGTCTTCGGCGACCAAGCATTCTAAATCTATCTTATTCTTTACTGGTTATAGGACGTCTTGTGAGTCCGCACGGGTAGGTACCACGGCCCTGCCTATTTCTGCCGTGAAGCAGTAATGCGTTTCGGTTTGTAGGGTCGGGCAGCCCTTGTACTATTAAAACTGAGATCCTAGAACTCATGTTCTTTTTTTTATGATTGAGAGATTATTGGTGGCCCAGAGGCCTTTCCAGTTTCATCAGGACAGGAGGTCGAGCAAAGGCTCAGCCAGGAGGGGTGGGATTTGCTAACAGCTGCCCAAGCGCCTCCAAAGGAGATCTAACAACTCAAGGGCAGCTGCTTCGCGAATGAATCTGCTACCGGATCGGAATCGCGACCCGCTGAGAAGATCCGGCGAGAAACTCAGCGGGCTGATTCATGGGTTAGGTTGCACGTCGACCTCCTTGTCGAGTTCGACGAGTACGGTTACAGGGGTCCCTAAGCCTGCTCCTAGTGTTAGAGCTGAAGGCGTCTAATGCAAAAGTTATTGGATCTGATGGATCCGTAAGGACGTGTCTAGGGCGACGACGGTGACTAGCTCGCTCCTGTATTATCAGGATTCGGGGAGTAGTCAGCGGCGGCAACGATAAGGCGATTATCATGACGCATAGTTTATCGAAGTACCGTTCCGACGCTGACTTAATGTATTTCTGGATTGATTCGAGGCCCAGGTCGTCGTGTAGGTCAACGTTCCTCACGAACCATGGAGCCCCGACGGCTAACCTGCAAAAGCGGGATCGTAGGGGTTGGAGCGTGTCTATGTGTGTGCGGGCCGCGTGAGCGAACACCACACTCGCGTAAGTCATGACGGGCCTTATGCAAGTTTTGTAAAGTGTCACCTTGTTCCGAAGGCACATTTTACTCCGCTTACAGATGATGGGATATACAGATCATGGGATAAGAACTCATGTCTCGACGTGCGTGGCGGTAGTTACGTCGTAGATGTGATGTCATTTGGCGGGAAACGATGCTCGTGAAGTTGTTTTGTTAAATTCATTGTTGTTCAGTTTTAATCCTAAAAATAATTGCGTCTTATTAAATATTTTGCATCTAGAAGTGTGCATAACGGTGATGGCTTCTCGGGTTTGAGAAAAGAAATCACTAAAGTATCAAAAAACATCCTATCATCACAAGACATTGTTATTCTAGATAACAATTATTGTTTTGGCGCTCTGAAATTTAAGGTCAGACTACATAATAAATAACATAATAACAATCTGAATTTTGCCTAGACTTCGGTGAAAATTGAATCATAAGTGAGTATTTTGTTTTCATTCACGAAACATCCGGTACATCCGGTATGTCAGGCTAATCAGTCTGCGCATACTGGAGCGCATATTGTCCATCCCTACCGATTCTGTAAGTGTCCAAGTCTCTCTCGTATGTCAATTCTTAGAAGATTAAATTGAAAAGCTCCAAATGCAAACCTTAATCGTTTCGCATCTGCGTTCATTTTGAGGAATACATATAGACGTATAAAATAATAACAGGAACAACCAAATCCCGAATGCGAATCCCGAATTACTTAAGAAAAACGAATTACTTAAGAAAAAATACAGGCTCCGATCGGAATCATACCCGATCCCACAGCGAACCCGCCACTAGATAATAAGAGGATTAAAGCTGCTTTCGGACTACGCTATACTATAGTGCCATATAGTATAGCAGTCTATACTTAACCAATAATATATAGTACAGTACAGTGTGAATATATGATGTGCGATATTGTTGTGCTATGGGCTATATACTTATACTAGCGAACCGCCTTCGCTTCGCTTCGGAAACATTAAAAAACACATGAAAGCAAAAAAAAAAAAATTAAAAAAAAGTAGCCTATGTTCGTCAGGGACAATGTCGGCTTCTAATGGAAAAAGAATTTTTCAAATCGGTCCAGTAGTTTCGGAGCCTATTCGAAACAAACAAACAAACAAATCTTTCCTCTTTATAATATTAGTATAGATTATAGCGTAGTGTGAAAGCGGCTTAACAATTCGTTAGGTGTCCTTCAGTTAATAGTCTCAAATCAAAAGGTATTGGAAAGTACATTGACTTGCTTGATCGGTGTATATGTGCAAAAAGCATATGAAACCATTCTCAAAAAAGAAAAAAAAAAAATCTGTTTTCCTGTTCTAATGATGGTGGGCAGAATTAAGGAGCATCATCTTGTTTATGGGACAAGTTACAAAAGTGTCTACTTGTAAACGGCAAGTTTGAAGACTCACCGAAATAGCGCTAGTGTAGGATGTGGATATGATTCGACGCTTGAAAGGCAAACGTGACTAAGCGACAATGCGTGAACTTTACAGTAGACTAATTTAAAGTTGAAATACCTGAAAAAAATTCCTTCTAGATTTGAAATTATTTTAATAGATCTAGAAATATATTTTTTTGCGCATCGAATATGGTTATTGCCTATCATTTATGTATAAAGCAGTTATTGTCGCATTGACACGTTTGCCTTTCAAGCGTCGAATTATGAATATAGCAGTTTTAAACAGAGTGAAGTGTGCTGGGTTGAAGAGAAGTGTGGTAGTTTATTGCGCTGTTTTTAAAATCATTCCACTTGTTATTATGGTGACATCTTATTTGGCAACCTCTTAGCGGACACTTTTTAATACACTAATTACTGGTGGTAGGACCTCTTGTGAGTCCGCGCGGGTAGGCACCACCGCCCCGCCTCTTTCTACCGTGAAGTAGTAATGCGTTTCGGTTTGAAGGGCGGGGCAGCCGTTGTACTGTAAAAACTGAGAGCTAAGAACTCATGTCTTGAGATGGGTGGCGTCATTTACGTCGCAGGTGTCTATGGGCTCCGGTAACCACTTAACACCAGGTGGACCGTGAGACCGTCCACCCGTCTAAGCAACAAAAAAAAGACACAGTTAAGGTTTTGTAGATACCGCAGATCATAGACTTCATAGCGTGACTGCCGCCACTCACTCATTCACTCACTCACTCACTTCCTCACCGTTGTAACTTATATTTCTGAAGTCGTCGTGGCCTAAAGGATAAGACGTCCGGTGCATTCGTATGTAGCGATGCATCGGTGTTCGAATCCCGCAGGCGGGTACCAATTTTTCTAATGAAATACGTACTTAACAAATGTTCACGATTGACTTCCACAGTGAAGGAATAACATTGTGTAATAAAAATTAATTTGCGTAATCCCTGGTGGTAGGACCTCTTGTGAGTCCGCGCGACTAGGCACCAACACCCTGCCTATTTCTGCCGTGAAGCAGTAATGCGTTTCGGTTTGAAGGGTAAGATAGGCGTTGTAACTATAGTGAGACCTTAGAACTTATATCTCAAGGTGGGTGGCGCATTTACGTCGCAGATGTCTATGGGCTCCAGTAACCACTTAAAACCAGGTTGGCTGTGAGCTCGTCCACCCATCTAAGCAATAAATAAAAACGCTGAGATGGTACTCCTTACTTTTAGCATCCGTGGTCTTAATAAATCGCTGCCTTGTCATAGTTAATACACTTAATATTTAAGATCCGCTGCGAAAAATTTAAGTTATCGTTTTAAATTTTAAATTGTTTTTACGTAATTTTTCAGGGTCATAAGGCAACGTACTCGTTTGGTCTACAATAAGAAAAGATGTCGCGGCAAGACTAACAGCGGCTCGTGCGTTATAACCGAAGTAAGTAAACAATACAAGAAGGAAGTTTATTAGTATATGAAAACACCAAATTTTATATTACTATTATTATTATTATTATATTATAATACGTAGGTACGGCCTTGTTATGTTTATGTATCTATACACATTATTTGTGTATATTATGTATTTGTTTAAGTTAATAATATTTTGTTATTGTTATTTCTCCGTTACATTCAAAAAGGAATTCAGCTATTACAAGATTCTCTACACCACCATTGGTTGACTGTTAGAGAATGCTTTAGGCATTAAGTCCGCCACTGTACTTTTGTGCATAAAGCTAAATAAATAAATTACCGAAAGTCGAACGTAATTGCATTGCGCCATTTTGAGAAGGCGGCACGACATGAGAACCCTCTCATCGTAGCCGCTGGAAATTACATACCCGACCCAGTAGACTGAATGGTAAGCCGTCGACGTCGCCCAAAGCACGTCATTACGGATCCTCCTGATCCATTAACGGTGCTTTTAGGCACCACAAGCACCGGTCACCGTCCTCGTCGAACCCGTCGCTTGCGACGAAGGGCTCTAACCCATAGACACAGCCCACTGAGTTTCTCGTCGGATCTTCTGGGTGGGTCGCGTTTCCAATCCGGTGGTAGATTCTGCGAAGCACTGCTCTTGCTAGGGTCAGGGTTAGCAACTCTCCGGTTGAGCCCCGCGAGCTCACCTACTAACGTTAGGGTGAAGCTGAAATAGCCTCTCAAGGCTATCAGCATAGGTAGGGAAAAACAAAAAAAAAAGTAATTGCATATTCAATTTTTTTGCGTATGTACATACTTGTATATGTATATGTACATAAGCAATGGCCATTTTGTTAAATTTAATGTTACTAGTGGCCCCCCGGTCGTCGAAATTCGACTATAATTAATTGAAATTATAAGCTTAAACATTATTAAGGTTCCATTGTCAAAGACTTATACTTCTATAACCACAGATTTCGCCAAGACTATTATACTTTAGACAAATAATATTAAATAAATAAACAATATTAATCTATTCTCAATTTGACCACCGACTTTAAGCAATAACAAAAGTTTGACAATAAACAAAGAATATTATATATATGTGTGTGTCAAATACATGGTAGTGTGTGTTATGATTTTTTTATTGATTTAATGTAATTTTATGCATAATTTAAAAAAAATATTAGTATTCTGCACTTCTTCTCTATATTCTCTATAAGTGTGGGAAATTTCATACTCCTCCGTCCGCGCAATTTTCGTAAAAAGGGGTACAAAGTTTTTGCTTCACGTATTAATATATAGATTTAAAAAACAAGTATCGCACGCCAACATATTATGAACTTTAACTAAATCAGATAACCTTAGAACTTATATCTCAAGGTGGGTGGCGCATTTACGTTGTAGATGTCTGTCTATGGGCTCCAGTAACCACTTAACACCAGGTGAGCTGTGAGCTCGTCCACCCAACTAAGCAATAAATAAAAAACTTAACTCTTAATTAATTTTATTTAAACCAATCTAACCACATCCTTCGTTTAAGTTTGTTTACTGTTTTATAGTAATTGTTACAACATTTATTTTTCATTTCATGTTTCGCAAATGCTTACGTGTTTATTATGGGTTAAAATGCGGTGGGTTACATTGCGCGTTAACTATGAAACGTAAGCGAGTGAAAAGTCGCACTCAGTTGCCTTAGTCACTTAGATGGGTGGACGAGCTCACAGCCCACATGGTGTTAAGTGGTCATTGGAGCCCATAGACATTTACAACGTAAATGCGCCTCCCACCTTGAGATATAAGTTCTAAGGTCTCAAGTATAGTTATAACGGCTGCCCCACCCTTCAAACCGAAACGCATTACGGCTTCACGGCAGAAATAGACAGGGCACTGGTATCAACCCGTGCGGACTCACAACAGGTCCTACCATCAGTTTTTTGTCAAAAGTGTATTTTTTTCCACCAGACAGGAATAATACAGAAAGCGCAGTAGTTTACTTAAATCTGTACCGATTTATTCGCAATTGCCACTTTTACAAAAATTCAGAACCAAGTTTACTGTAAAGTATGCACAGAGCCTTTCGTGTTTTTTTCTCGACTACCCGCTTTACTTCGGTCTCCGCCGTTATTAATATGCCTCGTTACCACGATCACCATTGGTTTTTTTTAAGGTATTTTATGACCTGGTAACTAAGACCTTTAAGTCAAGTCTTATTTTAATTTATATTCTTATTTTTATTAAAAATGATAATATGGAGTGAAAAGAAATGAAATGGAATGAAGATGATTAATTTGAGACATTAATCAGCTGGGATGAAATTAAATGAAATGAGATGAGATGATATGTGATGAAATATAATCTCAGTAAAATGGTGGTCATTTACTGAGATTTTTTCAGTGGACTCTTTGGAGGATCCCGAGAGGTTACGTCCAGCGGCTTTGTTTCATTTTCCCACATTTGTACACTTTCACAGGTACTAAGCAGTTAATAAACCACCGTTTTTACGCTTTTAAACCTGAAGAGACACTAAATAAACAAAACAAAACAAATCTCATAACTTCACTATTTTTATATTCCCTCATCGATTATAGCGCTACATGCCTCTCTCACTCATTTATCACATCCTTACACACAGATACAATTTTTTTTCTACACCAGAAATTCCCTAGAAATCCTATATATGGCAAAACAACGTTTGACGGGTCAGCTAGTTTTTATATATAAAGATTATTTTACAACAAAACTTACAACCGTGAAACCGGAACGCTTGTGTTTGTTTTTTACTTTCACTGATCGTAAGAAAAACGCTGTTTTTTTTTTTGTAATCACTCTGTGATCTCTGAATTAGAAAACGAATATCGTGCTATTGGATATTGGAGACCATTATTGGTTTGGAGAAAAATAAAAGTCTTAAGGCCCACGCGCATTGTTAGGTACGTTGTCCACAAGGACAAAACAAAACATTAATTTGAAATCAAATATTCCATTTGACTATCGTCCTTTGACTTTATGTCCCTATGAAATTATTTTGTATTCGTGTCGCGTTTGATCTATGATGTTGACGATAATTCGAGACGAATTAACGTACATCGATATTTTTGTTTGTGCTCTGACGTGTCGGACTTGTAAATGCATACTAATTGATAAAAAATAGGATCCTTGTCGTATCCTCTTGTCAGAGCGGTCGTGGTTGTTTGGTTGTTTTTTTTTTATTGCTTAGATGGATGGACGAGCTCGCAGCCCGCCTGATGTTAAGTGGTTACTGGAGCCCATAGACATCTACAACGTAAATGCGCCACCCACCTCGAGATATAAGTTCTAAGGTCTCAGTATCGTTACAACGGCTACCCCACCCTTCAAACCGAAACGCATTACTGTGGTGGTACTGTGGTGGTGGTACCTACCCGTGCGGACTCCCAAGAGGTCCTACCACCAGTGATTACGCAAATTATAATTTTGCGGGTTTGATTTTTATTACACGATGTTATTCCTTCACCGTGGAAGTCAATCGTGAACATTTGTTGAGTACGTATTTCATTAGAAAAATTGGTACCCGCCTGCGGGATTCGAACACCGGTGCATCGCTNGGTGGTACTGTGGTGGTGGTACCTACCCGTGCGGACTCCCAAGAGGTCCTACCACCAGTGATTACGCAAATTATAATTTTGCGGGTTTGATTTTTATTACACGATGTTATTCCTTCACCGTGGAAGTCAATCGTGAACATTTGTTGAGTACGTATTTCATTAGAAAAATTGGTACCCGCCTGCGGGATTCGAACACCGGTGCATCGCTCGATACGAATGCACCGGACGTCTTATCCTTTAGGCCATGACGACTTCTAGAGACCACGACGACTTCTGACGACGACGTTGTCATTCAGTATCATTGCTGTGGGCAGATCTTATGTGCCTTACGAGTCAATCGCCACTTTTCTTGGTTTGTGGTGAGCTTAGTACACTCATGAAAACAACCGCCAACTACTGACTGGACTTGGCTTTTACTGGTGGTATAGTATCTTGTAAGCCCGCACATAGATTTTTTTTATTGCCCTAGTAGACAGGCGAACGGCTCACCTGATGATGAGTGGTTACCGTCACCCATGGACTTCAGAAATGCCAGGGGCAGAGCCAAGCCGTTGCCTACCAGATGTCACTACCCAGCCGCAGAATAGTATCACGTTCCGGTTTTAAGTGTGGAATGGCCTTTATACTATACGGTGTGGGTGGCGGCATCTTCGTAGTGATGTCTGATGTCTATGGGCTCTCTTAAATATTTTAAATAATGGGGTGTTCATTAATAGAATAGATATGAGGAAGGTATTTGTAGGTCTATTAGCCATACTCGCCCGCTTCGCTGGGTATTTAAAATTAACATTAAATTATTATTTATTGTCATTATTATTAGGGAGTCTAACACTCATATTATACATATTAGTCTATCCATTAAGTACATGTATTTTCTACATGGATAACAAGTTTCAAGTCAATCGGCTGCATGGTTCGGTAGTTATAACGGAACATCCGTAAAAACCACGGTAGATTTATATATTAGTATAGTTTTTTTTTTTATGTTTGAAAGATTACTGGTGGCCCGAAGGCATTTTCTGGTGAAACTATCTAAGAAAAGGGTCGCGGATGAGGTTTCGTTCTATGTTTCCAGAGTAAAAATTAAGTGTTTTAAGTTCTATAGTCTGGTTACTGTGATAATGTGGTGGTAGGTGGTGGTATAGAAATAAACGACCAACCCTTTAATTTTTTTGTGATTTTTATAGTGTGTATGTAGTTATATACTTTGAAAGAAGACGTAAAACACTTCTTTTCCACAGGTTTCCAGAGGTCACATATTTGTACATATATTCAAATAATAATTTTATGATCATTTTAATAATAGTTTTCATGAAAAAATCATTAAAATCGTCACTACGATTTTGTATTATACAAGTGGTCCCGCAGTAGTCCGAATTCGACTATAATTAATTGAAATTATAAGTTTGAGCATTATTATGGTTCTATTGTCAAAGACTTCTATACTTCTATAATTACAGATGTCAACAAGACTACACTTTAGACAAATAATTTTAAAGATAAACAGTAGTAAACTATTCTCAATTTGATCACAGACTTTAAACATTTAACAAAAGATTGATAATAAAACATTGATAATAAACACAGAGTATATATCTATATTTGCGTGTGTGTCAAATACATAATAGTGTGTGTAATGTTTTATTTATTGACATAAAGTATTTTTAATGCCTAATTTAAAAAAAATATAAGCATTCTGCACTCTTTATCTATATTCTCTATAAGTGTGGGAAATTTCATACTCCTCCGTCCTCGCAAATTTTCGTAAAAAGGGGTACAAAGTTTTTGCTTCACGTATTAATAAATAGATGTTATTACAGTCATACGTGAGCATTGAGAAGAGTCAATCATGCAAGACCGGCTGGATATATGAGGCGAAGACCGACAGCTGTGTACCGAAATGCACGAGCGGTTGCGTGAACGGAACTTGCGAGGCGCCCGAGGTCTGCACCTGTCTAGAGCCTCTGGTCCTCAGACGCGGACACTGCGTGGAGCCCACGTGTTCACCAGCCTGCGACTCCTACAGCAGCTGCACCGACTTCAACGTGTGCACCTGCGTGAACAACACGATCGCTTTGAACGGCTCCCAGTGCGCCCCCGTGTGCCCCGACGGCTACTACAACGATCCCGTGGAGTGCTCCCCGCGGTGCGAGCGCTGCGTCAACGGCACGTGCACGGAGCCCGGCCTATGCACGTGCGACCCCGGCTACAAGAACATCGATGACGTGTGCGTGCCTAAGTGCTTGGACTGCCGCAACGGCGAGTGCGTGGCTCCCAATGATTGCCTCTGTCACGACAATTACGCCATGAGTAACGGCACGTGCGCCCCTGTGTGCCGCCGGGCCTGCACAAATGGGGCGTGCTCGGAGCCCGATAAGTGCACGTGCGACGATGGCTACCGGTTGAGTCCCGAGGATCCTTTCGTCTGCCTGCCGGTCTGTTCTGAGCGCTGCGTGAACTCTCACTGTTCGTCCCCTAATACGTGCACGTGCTTCAAAGACTACGAGCGTAACGATACGAATTCGAACGTTTGTTACAAGAAATGCGATGGAGCTTGCGAAAATGGCCGGTGCTCTTTGGACGGAGCGTGCGAGTGCGACTCCGGATACATACTGTCCAATGGAACGTGCATAAGAAATAATACGTAAGTGGCCTTCATATTAATGGTGAATATACGTGTATGATGCTGACCCCTGGGGGCCGGCGCACTGTCTGGTACCTTGAGAGGGGATTAAAATTTGTATGTTTTTTTATTTTTGTTGTTTAGATTGGCGAGCTTTTAGGTGGGCGAGCTTACGGCCTACATGGTGTTAAGGGGTAAGCCCATAGACATCTACAACGTAAATGCCGCCACCCACCTTGAGAGACCACTTAGAACTCATCTAAGATCTCAATTTTAACAGTACAACGGCTGCCCCACTCTTCAAACCGAACGGCAGAAATAGGCAGAGTGGTGGTACCTACCCGTGCGGACTCACAAGACGTCCTACCACTAGTAAATTATTTACTTTTCACAAAAATAAACAATTTACCCACTCGAGACATATGAGCTTCGCTGTATTAAAGAACTTAATTATCCACATATACATGGTACATTTTACACCAAACATGATGGTAAATGTTGGTTGACCAGACCCCGGTCCCCTTGTGGTAACAGGTTATGGGAGCCCACAGATATCAAATGAATCGAAGTCTCTGTTGTGAAAATTCTTACATCGCGGTTGTTGTACTTACCTTTACGGACTTCTAATACGCCCTGAAGTCATATCATTATCATGATCATCACCTTATAGCAGTCCACTGCTGTACATAGGCCTTTCCAAGAGAACGCCACTAAACACGATCCTTGGCTTCTCTCATACAATCATATGAATACCGTTAAAGTGATAGCAGACTTGACTTGCCTCGGGTAAGTCCGGTCTAATTAGTCTTGGCTAGGACGCAGCTTGCTCAGCGATAAACAGCTTTATATCTTAGCTTAAAATGTAGTCTTATTAGAATAGGCTTGGGAATGAATGGCGTACCGGAAAATAGGCTTACACCAGCCTTTTCTCTGACTAGAGCAGAGAAAATTGAGCTTGTGTTTTAAACTAGTAAGCAGACGATTGAGTTATGGTCCTTCGTGCTTGTTGCAGAGCGTGCTCCGCGAACTGCAGCGCGGGCGGGGAGGAGTGCGGGCTCGGCAGCGGTTGCCCGTCGGAGCAAACCCACTTCCCCGCCGAAGTTACTTCCGCAGGGTGCGTATGCGTACTCACTAGGACATGGTGCTGATTGTGCAATCAACTAAACCAGCGGCTCTCAAACTTATTTTGTCTACTGCGCTCTTTGAGAATAAACTATTTTTCAGGGCCCCCATTTTTTCACCTACCTAAAAACTACTACATCGAGAGCTCAGTTAGTATCTAAGAGGCCTAGATGAAATTACAAATCCCTAGCCTACACAACAGCCCCATTTTTTTTCTGGATCTCTTACCGCCCCCCTCTAGGCCTGCAGTGCCCACAAGGGGGCGTTATCGTCCATTTTGGGAAAGGCTGAACTAAACTATATATCGAGAGGTGAATGAAAGGCTATTTTTTTTAATTTTTTAATTTTTTTTATTGCATACATGGACGAGCTCACAGTCTACCTGGTCTTAAGTGGTAACTGGAGCCCATTGACATCTACAACGTAAATGCCGTCACCCACCTTGTGATATGAGTCCTAAGGTCTCAGTATACTTACAACAGCTGCTCCCACTCTTCAAACCGAAACGACTTACTGCTTTACGGCAGAAATAGGCAGGGTGGTGGTGCCTACGTGTGCAAAGATTTTTCGTTATGATAATTTGTCCAAAATTTTATTCTTTAAATGGCTCTCTAATATGCCGCTTAAACCAAATAGCCCTCGATATGAATTACATTTTGCTAACCTCGGCATAGAGAGCTTATTGAATTACATATATGCTGCTTCATGTAAGAAGAGGAAATAACCTACCATATTTGATTTTCAACTTCTAATTCACTCTCTTATCAGTAAAATTTAATAGCAGAAGCAGGGATATTGATTTTCTATGGCATTCCTATTGATTAGGATTCTATGGTAGGAGTTTTGCGGTGTACCTACTAATCATTTTCTGAAAGGTCTATCGAGATGGACAGTATCTTTTTTCTTCAAAATCTTCAAATATAAGACACCACTGACTGAAGTCACCGTCTACTGGCTTCCTCTAATAATCAACTGGATTCTGAACCAACATATTATTATTATTGTTTGTCCATATAATATATGCAATAAAAATAATTATTATGTATGTAGTATGCAATAAAAAAAATTATTATATTTCTGCGAAACTTTAGTGAAAAGTATGGATTCTATTCTAGTCTGAGATCGAGGGAGAACTCCATTAAAGAGGGATCAAATGTCTCTTGTAACTTTACATTTTACCAACAAGAAGAAATCAGGTTCTGGTTTCGGAATCAAAATACTGTTACGCCGGTAAGAATAACGCCATCTATCGCTGAATAGTCGAACGAATATCGAAGGACCTAGTAGCACCTAGAACGCTCGAGAAGTACAACGCCATTTATTGTTAGATAGCGGAAACTACTACTAAGGCGTTGTAGAGATGGCTCGCAGTCAGTAATCGGAACTACTCGAAGCGAAACAGCGAACGGATCACCTGAAGCGAAGCGGAACAAGCGAATTGAGAGTTTTAAAGTTTTTGTTGAGTGTTCTAGATGTTGAATACAGTGTTAACTTGTAATTCGGTAGAATTTTATTTATCCCGAACCCCAGCGCGTAACAATACCATGGCTGCGTCGGAACCAGTCACCTCGGGGAGTGATGGCCGGTACTTACCAGCTCTGTGGAGTCCAAGTGTGTAAGTGGTGTCCATCGACTGCTCCTCAGGCTGGCGGGCTTGCAGATCAGCTGGCTGCTGGGCGGGGCCGTCGGGCTCTTGCTGCTAACGCTCTTGCTCGTCGTCATCCACAGAACTTGGAGGAGACGACTGGAACTCGAAAAAAAGATCAAAGAAGACCAAGCAAGTATGTTGAGGTTCTTTAAAACAACCCCGCAGTCCATTCGTGTTGTTATGAAATAATATTCAATATGTCAATTGGTAAGTCGTGGCCACCGTAGTCTGTGGACATCAGCAATACCACCAGCAAAGCTACTGTTTTTCGTTTATAGCTGAGAATTATTTTCAAGCCTCGTTTGAAGATATCATTGCACTCAGGAAACACCGCAGGGAGCTATTTAGTGGCTTCTGGAACCGCACTGGGACGGGAGGCGCAGTCCCGGGCTTCAGATAAACAAAATGATGTTTCCGTTATAAATTTGCATAATCGCTAAACGTGTGTCCTATTGTGAGCACGCACGGGACGTTACCTCTGTCCTGTCTATATCTGCCGCCAAGCAGTCTCGTGTCTCAAGGCACACGACGTGATGCATCATCGCTTGTGACAAAACAGCGGTGACCACGGACCACAGTCCACGGTCCGCGATAAGAGACGCCTCGATTTATTTATTTATTTATTCTATTAAATACAAAGTCAGGCTTACAGTTTTCACCAAAACGCCTGACTCGTTAACACAAAAACATTATTGAAACTATTAAGTACTATTATAATACTATTCTAAAAATAAAATTATTTTGGAATAAAGTATTCCCCAACTATCGGCAAATACGTCAGCATCCTGGATTTCGGATAGAAATTCGTTTAACAGCGCAATTGCCCTGACCGTTGGACAGTCCCTAGCTCTACGGGTCCTCAGCCCCGCCAGCGCCGCGAATAAGTGGTGGTGGCGGCGCACTCTCGCCCGCGCATACTGTTGCCCGACGAATAGTGTCATTTGCCGTAGTGCCAAGGGATTATTGACTCTATTCTGTAATAAAGAACAGTAATGTACGAATAGATGCAACTTTCGATGTCCCCAGGCCCCGGCAACTACAGCGTCATGTGCAGCAACCCTAACAGGCTGCTGCAGACCCAACCCGGTGACGTCACGAGGGGCTACTCCGACGACCTCCTGCCGACAGACGAAACCGAACTCACTTACGAAGTCCCCTTACGAGACGAGAGCTACTGAACCAATCGTGATGTGGAACCAGCAATGTAAATAGAAATAGTCTTGTATAAATTAAGTGTCTTCTTAATAAATTATATTGAATAGTACAATTGTTTTTGTTCCCATTTGTAGCTTTTGATAGTTTGGTAACAGCTGTATTGTCTCGCTTTACGTACGCGAACGCGGGTCAGTGCGAATTTCTTAACGTTCTCGATAGCGTAAAAGTTAACCCAAATTTGTATGCAGTTGGAACAGCGCCCCTAGCGGCAAACGTACACAAACGATCCCATTCTATACAAATATGAGCTAACTCTCACGCTATCGAGAACGTTAAAAAACTCGCACTAAGCACACCGGTCATCGTTCTCGTCGAACCCGTCGGCTGTGACGAAGGGCTCGGCAAGCAAATTCACGCACAGACACAGTCCACTGAGTTTCTCGCCGGATCGTCTTAGTAGGTCGCGTTTCCGATCCGGCGGTAGATTCTGCGAAGCACTGCTCTTGCTAGGGCTAATGTTAGCAATTTCGTCAGTTCAGAGCCCTGTGAGCTCACCTATTCGTTCGATTAAGCTGGAGTAGCCCCTCGAGGCTATCAGCTTAGGTAAGAAAAATAAAGCGAACGCGGAATTGCTCTGTGGCAGAAGTATGAAGGATTGTGGCAGATATCCGTCCGAGCTCATGGTACACCCCGCCTCAAGATGTTAAGGCGTCATGAGAACTGGTTACGTCATTTGCACCGTACTCGGTCAGGACAGGTTTAGATAGTTTAGTTCCAGTCATCGCTGTTCAGACACCAGCGATGCCCGGCTACCACAGACATCTGCAAGCCTCGTTTGCTGGAGGACAGTGTAGGGAATATACGAGTGCTGCTGTATACTTAGGTCTGAGTAGGTCTTAGTTTCACTATAATCGATATATTTAGTGTTCAGGCCAGTGCCTTCAATTCTGTTAATAGCAATGTCAAAGATGCTAGCCTTCTAAGGCGCTAAGCATCACAGTTTAATAACTTAATGTATTTCACTATCATTCGTTCATTCACTACCCGCTCTTCAAGCACGCTGTACATCTCTATTAATATGTATAAGAATAATATCAACTGCTGGAGTTTTATTACCACAAGAAACTCCCTTATGTACCACAAGCCGGTACATAAATTGGTGGCCCATGAGGGTGAAATACATTGAGTTATTAAATTGTGATGCTTAGTGCCTTAGAAGGCTAGCATCTTTGACAATGCTATTAAAAGAATTGAAGGCACTGGCCTGAACATTTAGTATTCTCTTTTTTTCCTATCTATGCTGCTATCAGCATCTTCAGCAACGCTATCCTTGAGAGGCTATTTCAGCTTCTCCTTGATTTGTAGGTGAGCTCACGGGGCTCAAACCGGGAGTGTTGCTAACACTGGCCCTAGCAAGAGCAGTGCTTCGCAGAATCTACCACCGGATCGGAAACGTGACCCACTGAGTAAATCCGGCGAGAAACTCAGTGGGCTGTGTCTATGGGTTAATTCGCTCGTCGAGCCCTTCGTCGCAAGTGACGGCTTCGACGAAGACGGTGACCGGTGCTTGTGATACCCAAAAAGCACCGTTAATGGATCGGGAGGAACCGTAATGACGAAGTATTCTCATAAACAAATGTTTACATGTTAAAAAGGATTTGTCTAGTTAAAATTTATAGTAATTGTTGTACTTAGGGTATTGCTGATTTGGACAGTTGGAATTGAACATTTCAATACCCGTCATTCTGTCAGAAGATTTATTTCACCTATAACTTCATAAATTAGCAAAAAATAAATTATATATCAAGAAACTTTAGAATACTGTAGGTTGATTTCGTACTAGTGTCGCCATCTAGTTGTAGCCGACTGCATCTCAATGGCGTTCTTTTTTAAATGTGTAATTTCTTATGGCCCAGATTTTTTAAACTTCACTAACCGCTCTAGGGCTCAGTCTAAGAGGAACTCAATGGCGTCGGATAGACTTTTCGATTCGACTAATTTTAAAGACTAACATGTAAAGTCGTTCTGCATTTCGTCGCTAGATGGCAGTTGGCAACCATTAGTTACAAGGCTAAATGTGGAAATGAACTCTGCGACTTTGACCTTGATAATTCATGAACAGGAAAATAAAAGATAGTTATAAAAAATACCTAGTCTTGCCATAAATACTGAGACAAAGAAAAAAAAAATTCTATTGCAAATAACATTTATTACTTTTACAGTGTGTTAGTTTAATACATAAATATAAAACAATTTAAAGTATAAAAAGCTTATTCTAAGTGGTCTCCATTAGCTGCAATACATTCCTTTAAACGTTGAGGCCAGTTATCAATAGAAGCACGCACTCTTTCCATGGGAAAATTTTTTATGCCAATCGTACGGATTGTTTTAGGGACTCCAAATTATCATGGCGTTTAGAGCAAGCCGTACTCTCTAAAACTGACCATAAATCATAATCCAGCGGATTAAGATCGGGACTAGACACGGCCAGTCTTCAGCTCTGATGAAGTCCGAAACGTTCGTTTCCAACCAAGACTGCGTAGACCGAGCTTTATGACCTGGCGCCGAGTCTTGCTGGAAGGACCATTCTTGATTATTGAACATGGTGTTGTTAAGGGACTTCACTACCTTCTCAAGAATAGTATCTTGATACACTTGTGCCGATGTTTTGATACCTTTTTCACAAAAGTATGGCTCAGTCACTTCTTCATAGCTAATACCCCACCAAACCATCACTGAAGTCGGATAGTGCCCACGTTGCACTCTGTTGACTAATTGGGAAGCTTTCTTAGAGTACCAGTACGTCTCTTATAGGCTGCAAGTCCTAAGTCATCTTTTAAAATACGCGACATGGTTCTAGGTGCTATCTTCATCTCCCGAGATAAAAACTTTTGCTTTCGGACAGGATTTCTTCGAATTCTTTCCCTTACTGCTTTGACCGCCTTTTTCGTACGAACACCACGTGGACGGCCGGATCTTTTTCTGTCACAAGCAGAGGAGGTCTCATTGCACCTACTAATAGCCCGGTACACAAACATTTTATTAATACCAAGCGTATGGAGAGTTTTAAAAATTGCATTTGCCTCCATACCTACTTTGTGTAATGCAATCACAGCGATTCGGTTCTCTTTATCACCCCACTCCATTTTAATATCGCAAAATATTGTACAATATATTGACGCCAAAATGAGAAAACTCAATGAGCAATCATATAAAAAGAACAGATTCCAAATTCAAATGTAATATTTTGTATATTTTTAATTGTAACAGTATTTATAGCCAGATTAAGTATACGTTCTTTGAAATTTAGGCTAAGTTCACATGACCGCGCAGTATGTCGCGGAACTGCTCACCGCGCGGTACAAGATCAATCTAAGCAGTGTTTATTCTAATCTAAGCTGTTATGTGAACGCGCGTGGCGGGCGCGGTACAAGTTCTGCAAAACTGTATCTGATCTACCTGTTCAGCTGATCCGCGCGGTTTGAGACGGACAGACGCATAGATTCAAGAAAAATGAGTACCAAGCGAAGACGATATTGTGTCTATCGATTTTAAATAGTTTTCAACGCAATAAAAAATCAAAAGATACAACTGACATCCTAAACTAGGTAGTTCAAAAAATGCCAGACTCTCCGCGTGTACATATTCTGTCATGTGATCGCTTCCACCGCGCAGTGACGCGCCGTACCGCGCGATCATATGAACTTAGCCTTATGTTAAAAATCGATGTTGTCACGTATTTACACAACGAGTGATTCGCGACATTAGCATAGCGTTAGAGCAACAAATTAAGAAATTAATGACGTCGGTCTATTTGAAAATTTATAATGCCCATATATATATTTATTAATTTTTTAATTATTATATTTAATTGCTTTGTAATTGAACCTAATGATAATTAAAAATTAAACGAGTACGTCGTAGGGGATTCACAATTAATTACTGTTTTATTTTACTTCTACTATAAAAGTAATATTCTATTTTTTAATTGGGATTACTGCAATGTACGGTTTATAACCATTATTATTATTATTTTTCTTTATAAGATCTTCATCTTTTAGTCTTGCGTGTCCATAATACAAATAAATTAATTACACTACCTTGTCTTCGGAAATAAAAATCGCTCATTCTAGAGATCGCAGTCAGCATATTAGAATAACCAAATAGGGTAACATAATGCCATCGGTCTTCGATAAGTGTGCTGAATTTTAAATTAATCAGTCGTTTTGAAGTTAATGAAAATCAGGTTCAAAGACTACATAGATACAGGCGAAGTTAATGAGATGATGCTAATTAAAATAACAACAGAAAAAATATGCTGAATGATTAATGATCGAATGAAACCTATAATTAAAAACGTGTTAAATCTGAAGAAAAATAATACTATTACTAATACATTTTTAAATCTCAAATTGAACGAAGTTAATTTGATTATAATAAATCTATATATTAATACGTGAAGCAAAAACTTTGTATCCCTTTTTACGAAAATTGCGCGGACGGAGGAGTATGAAATTTTCCACACTTATAGAGAATATAGAGAAGAAGTGCACAATGCTAATACTTTTTTTAAATAATGCATAAAAGATACATTAAATCAATAAAGAAAACATTACACACACTATATACCATGTATTTGACGCACTCACGCATGCATACTATTTATTGTCAAACTTTTGTTCTTGACGTCTGTTGTCAAATTGAGAATAGATTAAATATAGTTTGTCTTTGTTAATATTTTTTATCGTGTAGTCTTGGCGAAATTTGTGATTATAGAAGTATAAAATACAATCATAATAGTGTACAAACTTACAATTCCAAATTAATTATAGTCGAATTTCGACTACTGCGGGACCTCTAGTATATATTAAATACATGAGTGAACCATTTATTTTCACCCTATGTGTACGATGCGCAGACGGCCCCGCACACTTTTGTCGATACCCTCAGACACAGGCCACTGAGTTTCTCGCCGGATCTTCTCAGTGGGTCGCGTTTCCGATCCGGTGGTAGATTCTGCGAAGCACGGCTCTTGCTAGATTTCGTGTTAGCAACTTCGTCAGGTTTGAGCCCCGTGAGCTCACCTACTAGTTAAGGTTACGCTGA